GGCGAGTGCTTGAGATTTAATTGCCTTCCGTGGGGTGAAATCGATACTGAGATTACCAAGTTCAACTGCCCACTTAGATATGCGCCCTGTTGCGCCTCTATTGTGTAGGATGTCTCCGAGTGGGAAATCTGTCACCACGGTAATCTTGTGGCTTCCAAAATAGTGGCGAAGCTTGCGTGAAGTGATCAGGAGGGCGTAGAGTAGTTTTTGCACATGCGGGTACTGGATTTTTTATTCTGACAGTACTTCGCTGATGTAGTATACAGGGCGTTGTACTTTATATACGTGCCCTTCTTCTTCTCTTTCTACGACTATTGCTGTGCTGATCACAGTAGAAGTTGCCGCACTGTACAGCATCATGTCTTCGTTTTTCTTTAGAGGTGTGAGAACGGGCGAAGAGGTGAGGTATTCCTTAAGTCTTTTGAAAGCTTCGCTGGCTTCTTCTGTCCACTCGAACTTGTCTGTCTTCTTTAGTAGTTTAAAGAAAGGTAACCCTTTTTCGCCGAGTCTTGATATGAAACGATTGAGGGCCGCCATGCATCCTGTTAGTTTCTGCACATCTTTGACACTTCGAGGAGGGCCCATTTCTGTTATGGCTCAAATTTGCTTGGCGCTGGCTTCGATTCCACGATGACTGACCAAGAATCCGAGTAGTAGTCCTGAAGGAACTCCGAATACACACTTGTTTGGGTTCAATTTCCACCTCCACCTTTTTAGGTTTTCGAAGGTTTGCTTTAAGTCTTCAATTAGTGTGTCTGGGTTCTTTGTTTTTACTACCACGTCATCCACGTATGCCTCTATGTTTTCGCCAATCTGATCACCAAGGCACGTTTGGATAGCTCTTTGGTATGTGGCTCCAACATTCTTGAGTCCAAACGACATGGTCTTGTAGCAATAGGCACCGAACGGAGTGATGAAAGATGTCTTGCTCTGGTCTTGTTCCTTTAATGTGATCTGGTGATATCCTGAATAGCAATCAAGAAAGGATAATAGGGCAGATCCTGCCATTGAATCAACTATTTGATCAATGCGTGGTAGCCCGAACGGATCTTTCGGGCAGTGTTTTATTGAGATCTGTGTAGTCGACGCACATGAGCCACTCGTCCATATTCTTTTTTTGTACTAGAACTGGATTTGCTAGCCAATCTAGGTAAAGGATTTCTCTGATGAATCCGGCTGCCATTAACTTTGTGATTTCTTTTTTAATTGTTGCCTTCTTGTCGAGTGAGAATCATCATAGTCGTTGCTTCACAGGCTTGGAGCCTTCGTTGATATCAATTCTGTGCTCAGCCAACTCTCTTGGGACACCTGGCATGTCGGCCGGCTTCCAAACGAAGATATCTTTGTTGTCCTGAAGAAACCTGGTGAGCGCGAGTTCCTATTTTGCCAAGAGGTGGGTGCTGATGGTTGCCGTCTTGGAGGGATCCCTAGTGCCCAGGTCAATTTGCTTGACATCAGCTTCTTTTGGTGGTGTGAGGATGCTGGGCCTTTTAGCCGGTATCTCTAGTTCTTCTGGGCTCATTTCCGCGGCAATAGTGGCTATTTCTTTCCTACCATTGGCAGTCTATGCTTTTGCTGCAATTTGAATTGCCTGAACATCGCAGTCAAAAGCACGCTTCAAATCACTTCGAAGGGAAAGGACTCTGTTAGGCCCTGGCATTTTAAGCAATAGGTATGGGTAATGCGGTATCGCCATGAATTTTGCTAGTGCTGGGCGCCCGAGGATTGCGTGATATGATGAATCGAAGTCTGCAACTTCAAACTTGATGAATTCTGTTCGGTAGTTTGAGGGAGTTCCAAAAGTAACCGGTAGAGTGATTTGTCCAAGTGGCATGGCTGCCTTGCCGGGTACTATCCCATAAAAAGGGGTGCTCGTTGGTGTAATCATCCCGACAAGTTGTAGTCCCATCTTCCTTAGCGTTTCTGAAAAAATGATGTTGAGTCCGGCTCCTCCATCGATTAGTACTTTTGTGACAGTCATACCAGCAATAGTTGGGTCCAAAACCAGTGGGTAATGGCCTGCGTTTCCTATGCTAGTCCATTGGTCTTCTCTTGAAAACTGGATGGGATACTATGACCAATTGAGATATCTAGGAGTAACCGGCTCTGCTGCCATGATAGTTCGTAGGGCTAGCTTTTCCTGATGTTTGCTTCTGGAATCTGGGGCCCCAGCGAAGATCACTGCTACTGTCCCCCTGGATTTTTGGAATCCCTTGTCTTCGTGGTTGTCTTCATCCTTTTTCTGATTGTCTTCTGTAGTGTTTACCTTATTATCTTTTCTTGTGTATCGCTCGTTGAAGGTATAGCAATTTCTGGTGGTGTGATTTCCTTTAGGATGCAAGATGCAACGCATGTTTTCAATGTCGTCATACCCTCTGGGTTTGGAAACTTCCTTGATTTATCAGCCACCGCCACGGTGCTGTCTGGTCCACGTTTTCTTTCCTGATGTCTGATGTTTCGATGATTTCGCTTGTCCGGTTTGTCTTGGTTGTTTCTATCCGGGAACCTTTCTCGTGTCTTCTCTATAGTAATCATTTTTTCTACTATGCATCTGAATTCTTCATTATTTCTCGGGTTTTCTTTGCAGAAGTCCTAAAATTGCCACCTAGCTATAATTCCATGAGAGAAAGCTTCGATTACTTCTCGTTCGGTGATGTCATGTACTTGAGCACATAGTTCGCCAAATCATCGATAGTAGTTTCTGAGAGTTTCGCCTCCTTTCTGCTTGAGTCCTTTTAACTCTGTGTGAGTGATGGGGTGCGTAATGATACCCGCGAAATTTCCACATAAGACTCTTTGCAAGTCCTCCCAATTTCTGATTGACCCTGAATTTAATTTGTCGAACCATTGGAGGGGCATGGTTTCCAGTGCCATGGGAAAAAATAAGGTCTTGATATCATCGTCTCCTCCGGCTAGTTCAATCGACTGCGAGTAAATCCTAAGCAACTGCCTTAGTTCGGTCTTGCCATCATATTTAGAGTGGTTGCATGGCTTGAACTTGTGAGGTAGTCGTATTGAAGCAAGTCTATTCACAAAACAAGGGAATCTATCGTGCGTTCCGGCTTCTGTGTATTCTGATTCAGCACCTCCTTCTAGCCAACTATTGTCCTAGTGAGAGTAGTTCTGCGGGACTGTCTAAATTGGTGCCTTGCTTTTGGTCTTTCTTGGTTGTTCGACTCGGTAGTTTTGACTATGGTCCCTTCTACTTTCTCTGTTGTGACTTCCACTTGGTCCGAGTCTCTCAAAAGCAGACTTCCTTTGATTCTGATCTTCCTGTCTATGAGACGTTGACCTGGCAGGTAGTCTTGAGCGGGTCTCTCCATCGTGCACCCTTAGGGCTGTTGACCGGAGAAGATCCCGGAGCTGTTCCTATTTTTCACCGGGAAGTGAAGTTGCTCCGAGTTCTTCTAGTGCTTCTCGGATCCTGTTGTAGGGTGTATTCGTTGTGCGTCTTTCTTCGACTTCTTGTTCTGATTTTCTTCTATTGTACTTGGCCAGATCTGACTCATATTTGATCCAAGCTTCCTTGCGCTGCCTAGCACGGCGTTGGCGTCCTTGTTTCAATTTGTTTTTTCTTTCTCTGGCTTGCCTTTGATTCTCGGTCTCACCATCGTACCCCTGGATAAAAGGTGATATGTTGGACTCAGATTCATCCGATGACTTGATGTTGGGTGCTTCTAGGGGGACCAATGGTGATCGAGGACAGCGAACCATGAATACTTCTCGCGCGTGAATTGTTCTGTTATCGGTGTTGGTTTCCATGCTGTCGGAATCGTTGATAACTTTCGTAGAGGCTTCAAGGTCGCAGATCGAGTCTCCTTCTTGGTAGGGTAGAATTGATGTCGTCGTTGTGCCGACTAGTCGGGTTCCGCTATCTTCAGGAATGGAACCTGGCTACTGGATGATGCAGTCTTGGGATGTTATAGTTAATACGAGGCCTTCCTGAGCTCCCTTTAGTGGCATTCTAAGCATCGGATCGAGGGATCCTTCGGGCCATGCCTGATAAGATTTTACCATGTTCTGGAGTCTGAACGGAAAAGGACCCAACTTCTTGAAAGGATTCTGAGTGTACTCCGAGTTGTATTCTTGATAGGCCGAAGCCGCGTTCTAGAACCCTACCGGAAAAGAACTCGTTTTCTCAAAAGAACTCGAGTAAGACTCCATCTCGGATGCAGAGCCTGAGTTCGAGTTGGATGCGCAAAGCCACAAAATCTAAGTTGGATCGGACATCACGAGCTGCGCGAATCTTTCGGCGAGTTGATCTGTCGTAGTCGTCGAAATAGAAAGGTCTTCATGGTGATCCGAATCTTCGAAGAGACGGCTTTGGAGCTTGCCATCGTCGCCTACCTCGTAGATCCATGAACCGAAGATGAAGGTTGATCCCGTCGAGAAGATCATGTCGTCGAGGTCCGTCGAGCTCTCAGATGCAAATTCGCCGAAAGCCCCTACCTAGCGCGCCAGCTGTCGATATTTCACCATCGATAGCCTACCATGGGGGTACCCGGGGCAGTTTGTTCGGGCTTCAGCGTATGCAGAACTCGATGGTAAACGCAAGAGACAGTCGATTTATCCTAGTTCGGGCCCTCGATCGTGATCGAGTAATAGCCCTACGTCCAGTCGGCGTTAGCCTTTGCATTGGATTAATTGCAAAGTGTTGTGTTGCCTTCTTTCCTCTAGGAACTCTGCCCTCCTTTATATTGTCAGGAGGCCAGAGTCCTAGTCGGTTTACAATGAGGTTCCTAGTAGGATCACAAAACAATACTACTACTAAGATTACAGGGGAAGAAGTCCTAGTTAGATTAGATCTTCTCCCTTCCTTGTGGGGTGTCCCATGGGTCCTGTACTGACAATCGTGCCCACCGTCACTTTATGAAGATGGATTTCCACAAGCTGCTGCGCTATAATCTTGAGCATAACTGTGTGGTTAGTGCATTGGTTTTTGTATCTTCGCCTTGTCAGCCTTGGGTTTCTCTGTTTTACTAACCGTTCATTATTTTTAGGGACATCATATGTCGGAGGTTCTTGAGGAGCGCACGGTTGAGGAAGTTATCAAGCGGGACGAGGCTATCGAAGCCCTTCAGAAGGAGTTGGATAAGGTTGAAGATGAAAAGAAAAGGCTTTCTGTAGAAGTGGCCGACCTCCGTGTTGCCCGTCAGACTGCTGATGATTTGAAGATCCAGGTGGGGGCCCTAGAGAAGGATGTTGCTGGCTTGAAGGTTGCTGAGGAGATTGCTCTTGCTCGACTTTAGAAAGCAATTGATGCGAATGAAGGCCTTCGGAAGGAAATTGATGCAGAGAGGTCTTCGAGCTAGGCGCTTAGTGCGTAGGTTGAACTGCTGCAGAAACACTTAGAAGAGGCGCGGGTTGCTGGTGTTGCGACCGCTGAGCTGTATCAGGTGGCTCTGGCTAGTTTTGGTGGTGCAACTTCACCTTTGCCAGTTGATGCCTCCGCCTATGGCATATTTGCGTGGTTCAAGGAGAATGTTTCTAAATTGCAAGAATTCGTCGGAGGTGCTATGGTGCATTTTCATGTGCTACAAATCTCTGCAAGACCCTTGGGAGGCTAGGTTGCACACATTTTGCTTTGCTGAAAGGGCGGAGGGAGTTTGAGGGGCCTTCGGAGTTTGGTGAGACTTCAGGGGAGGTTTCCAAGCCTGTCAGAAATTTCATGAAGTATTTTTGGCTCAAGTTTGGCCATACTGATGCTTGCTCCCTAGCGAAGGCTCGCCGTGCCGCGGTTAGTGTCTTATCCGAATGTATATCTGTTCGTAACTTTCCTATACTTTTGTTGCTTTTTCTTTCTGGTTTTGCTTATTTTCCTAGTGCTTGTGTAGGATTTATAGAAGGTTGGGGCTCAACATGCCACTAAGGGACAGACGTCGAAGGTCAGTGAGACACCAAACCAGAGGTCCCCCACTATAGCTTCTGATGCTCAAAAGGCCGGAGAAGCTGCCTCTGATGCTCAAAAGGCCGGAGAAGATGCCTCCGCACCTACGGCGCTGGAGGTGTAGTTTTTAGGTTTCTTAGATGTTACTTTAGGCTTAGCGGATAGAGGTCTTCGTATGCTGTCTTGCATACTTGTAATCTTAATGTAAATTTGATCTGCGTAGGTTACCCCTCAGGGGCCTACGTGAGACGTTGTTCCTATAACTATGATGCAAGATGGTATTTATGTCAGCGGAGAGTTATGGGAGTATTGGCGTGACACTTTCCCATGCCCTTCGGTTCATGATATGTTTGACTTCGTGGTGCATGATATTGATGATGAACTTGCCGAATTTACTCGGTCATTAGCTTGGCAAGGGCCTTGGCCACCTGTTTAGTTTTGGACCTGCGCCAAATTGTTCGGTTGGCCTTCGCGGCCTTGTAATGTTTTGCTTTTGCAAAGTGTCAATGCTTTTGCATTTGTGTTATTTGCGCTTTGTAGTGCGCTCATGTTGTAATATATTTGTTTCGTTTGAATAAAGTTATTTGGAGATAATTGGCTGGGTACTTGTTTCATTGAAGAATCTGGTTACAATTACTACCTGAGTCGAATAGCTACAACGGTTATTACTTATTTTTTTGCTCTTGCTTCCGCTTCTTTCTTCTCTGGTTGACGCTGAGTACGAGGCTGTACGTCACAGTGGAGAAGCTGAGGTGCTCGTTTTTTTTATCTTGCTGACGTTGAGAAGGCTTTGGCGCAATTTGAGTATTCATCGGAGGCGCTGGTCTTGATTCTTCTCTAGAGGCCACAGGGCAATTTGAGCAAGCAACGGAGGTCGAAGAAGCATTTCTTGGACATTGCCTCCGCCTGTGCCTGGGTTGCTTTTGTTTTGCCTTCGGCTGTGCTGGAGCAGCTGCGCTCCCGTCGAACATGGTTGATGCCGGATTGCGCCAGTTTGTGTCTTCGGTTGTAGGGGGATGTTACGAGCCTTCGTGCGATACCCTCCCGCAACCTCTGACACTAACTGATTGCTGCCGGACTGTGGCCTTATGACGCCCCACAGAGGTTGTATGACACCCAATGGAAGATGCGTACAACCTAAATGCAGCCTTCGTCGGGCTGCGCGAGCTGCTTGATTTATGAGTCTTTGCACGGTACCACTTGTTCTTTCGCTTATAAGGAAACTCCGGCTTCTATGTTTCTTTTATTTTGTTGTATAGTGTATTGGCTCTTTGTAGATATTGCTTCCCCCTGATGGTCTTCTGGGGTTTGTGATATGAGGATGCACTGATTAGGGCTGGTGCTGGGGGAGACGCCAGATTTTATAGCCTTCTAGTTGTACGATTGAGATAAATCTTGGTGGTTGGCTGATATTTATTGCTTAGATGTGTTTTGAGGTTGTAATAAGACCGGCGGATTTTCTTTGTACCTGGTGTATCTTTGTTCTTTATTTTTGTTGTACTTGGGTTATTAATTCCTGACAGTCACGTGGTGCTTGATAAGGACAGGTCTTTGCCACACATTTTTTCTTGCCCGATGCCTACGGCGAAGGTAGGTCTTTGTCGGTTTTTTTGGCTTTTTGGCCATTTTGATGAATCCTTGATGCCTGAATGTGGATAGGGCTTTGTCAAAGTTACAGGCTCATTTAGCCGTGGAGGTCATTCGAAGCTTTTAAAGCCTTCGGCTAAAGCAGTGGAAGGTCCTCTTTGTCGTGATGCTGTTGTCGAATGTTGTGGCTCCGTTGCTAGCCACTTTCGACCTTCGCTTTTCATGGTATTGTTGGGAGAATTCCTCTTTATATTTTCAGAGGTTTTTACATGGGTCCTGCATCATTAAAAACCTGTGGGAGCCAATGTTGGAAAACCGTGGGTTTCCTACAGGCGGGGAACAATAGGTCTTCGCCTAGTCGAATGCACTAGGTGAAGGTGTGAGAACAGGATGGTGGGGCCAGGTTCAATCAAAGCTTCATTAATGAACTCACCAACCAACCCTACATAGCATATAGCACCTCCTATTTATACGGCACTGTTTGCTACCTCTGCATGTTATAAATTTGCCCTTTGACAGCTAAGGTATATTCCTAAAATATCCTAACACTAGCTCAGGTCTCCAGGGGCATCCTGCGTTTTGTCTTCTTGCACCGTCTTTGCTTCTTGGGCCTTAGCCTTAGGCCCATTAGAAGTCCGTCTCCAATCTTGGGCCGCGGTGCCTGTGAAGGCTTCTCTTTCTAGCGAAAATAGCAAGGTCTCCGCCTGAGCCGCTGGTGCCTCTGCTCTCGCTTCTACGCCTCCGCCCGTGGACTGCTTCAGACGTCTTATAGGATCGTGCTCAGGCCTCCGCCTAATCGCCGGTCTGTGGCGGAGGCCTTCCTGCAGCCGGTGGAGGCTTTCCAGGTTTGTCCCCAAAACGCGCGAGGGGCCTCCGCTTGCTTCGCTGGGGTCTCCGCACCGTCTTAGGCTCCATGCGAAGGCTTTATCTAGCGTCCCTGCAAAACATCCACAAATGATCCAATGGTATTAGCTTATGTTTACTTCAGCCTCCGCTACTCGGGTATCGGTGTTCCAACACATATATATATCATATGCATGAGTTCATGGCAGTGGTAATGTCCAAGCCTTGGTACCATCTACCTGCTACAGACTTGCCTTTTTTGCAAAAACTTTGGGTTGGGTTTTTGTAACTCCTACAATCACTAAGAAAATAAACTATGGCATTAGATTGGTTTCATATATTTGTCAGGAAAACTCCAAATGTATCAGATTATTTTTCTGTAAAGTTTGCAAATTCATTTAAAATTCAGTAGACGCTTTAGTTTTGCATGTTTATTTTTTTTAAAAAACTTTTGGGTCTTTGGTGTTTGTGTCAGGTTTCATTTTCGTACCAACTTTCCTGAAAGTTTTTAATGTTTTGATGAAAATGCATCAATATCTCACAATATTTGTTTGGTTGCTGAATTCTTTGGGTCATTAGTTTACTCACCAATTTTTCCTTACCACCTGATCAAAATGTTTTTTTTTTGAAATTTTTTTCATGATATATACAGGAATAAATTTCCTGGAGGCGTGCAGTTACTCAGGGTTCAGGAATCCAGTTTATCTTTGCCCCTCGTAGCACATTATATGGCTTCCTTTAGTTTAAGATAAGAATCTCCGGTGGAGATTTTGCTTGCTTTGGAATTTTAAATATATCCCAGCCATCAGCTAGCAAGGAGGTAATGGATTTACTATTTGCCTTTTCTTATTTGGACCATAGCTTTTTGGAATCCTTCTCGTGAATTAGGTATTTGAGGCGAGTATTTGCTTCATGTGGCAGGCACACATGTATTAGATGTAGCTTAATGAAGTAACTAAAACCACCTTTTGTCGGTCGAGCATTTACTCCTTGCCTTACAAGAGAAGGGAAAGAGCTCTCAAGCCAATGATTCAGCCTCCAAACAAAGAGAGAACCTGAACAACAAAATCGGGAGACGGGAGAGCCTCCAAGATAGAAGAGGAGAAATAAAGGGAGAACAAGGTGGTTGGAGAGGAGAACAACGAAGAGATCAAGTGAGACTCGTTCTCAAGATTGTGAAGCGCTAGGTCCGCAACTTTGGTGATACCAATCTTTTCATCCATTTTTGGTGAGGTCCTTCGATTCCCTAAGCTAGCAACACAAATATTATTGGTGTTTTCAGTGTATGAATGCATCTTATTGTGTTTTCAATGTATGTGAATTTATTGGTGTTTCCCACAAGCTAATAGTGGAAGGGATTTGTCTCGCTTGGTTTTGTGGTTTTAGCCCAATTTTTGGGGTTTCACTTCGAGAAACATGACATTCTGTGCGGAATACGTTGTGACAGCACAAATATTCATCATTGGGTTGTTCCATTTTGTAGGGATCGTTATGGCTTAATAAAGAAAATTGCCATTAATTAGTCCAATGGCACATTGTGACAAACATTTGTTCGTATGAGGCCAACCGGCAACATCATAAAACTATGCCTCTTCAACTTTCTAGTAAATTAGTTAAAAATGGAAATTACGTGCATGGGCTTTTCAAATGCACTTCTCAAATTTTAAATAAAACTGTGAAATAAACATGTGAGTTGGCTATAAATAATCTATGAACATAAATAGGTGTGTGGTGCAGTGGCAGAGGGAGGAGGTAGTGCTAAACATGAGGTCAAGGGTTTGATTCTTGGAAGTTCCAATTTATTTATTTTTTTTGATTTTTTGGGTTTTCTGAGACCATTAACAGAGGTGGACGTGTTAAGGCGCCCACCTGCATAAAGCCTCATTAACAGAGGTGTTGTGATAGAGAGGACGCCGTGCCCACCTCCGTTAATAAAAAAACGACCACCTCCGAAAATAAATTATATAGTAGTGAAGGCCCATGATAAGGAACTTCCTTGAGGGTGGCCCAATCTTCATGATAGTAGGTCTAAGAACTGAATATAACTTATTACGAACAGTGGGATAACTAGCTTTATACCTGTCCAGGATGCGACCAAGCGACGGGGAGAGAGACACCGAAACCATTAAGACTTCGACTCGATCTCCGAATGACCGCAGAACCATAGTCTGAAACTAATCCACACAAAATGGTGCAGCCGTTTGTTGTATTGGAAACTTAACTCGATCATCTTTCCAACCATGTATATCGTGCACCATGAAATGTTTCATAATGATACAGGTTTGCTCGAGAAGTTCTCCATCAAATCAATTCCTGGGTGATTGTTAGTCTTCTAGGCAATTTCTACTAATATGGTCATAACTCATTATTGTGAAGTTCAAATGTAGCACCTGGTTTTAAGGATAAAACCAGATACACACCATATGTTAGCCCAGAAAGTCAAATCACACATATGGCTACAAATAAGACTAATATCAAAAGACAATACTTTATTACATAGTGTACTAATACAAATAATATAACCTTAGATAGTAGATAACGGAAAGACACTCCGATCTTCAGGCGAAGGCTCCAAATCCACAGGGACAACTGACTGGTTGATCACAAGCCTAACTCCTCTAGACTAGCAATCTGGTACCCATCCAGGATTTTTTCAATATATAGAAAAGTAAAGCAAGCATAAGTACATATCGT